ACAGCTGGAATGGCTCAGGACTAGTGGTTGAAGGCTTGGCAGTCAGAAATGCACTTCAGGAATTGTCCAATTGTCTCTGTTTTCTCTACTCATGAAGGCTGTTCTCTTTCCTATATAAATTACGCGTAGAGACGATCTAGAATAGCCTTTTCCGCATCTCCTGAGGTCCTTGTTAAGCTGTAATAACTGGTTGATGATCCTGACCTGCTGAAGTCTGGTCCTTGTCCAGCTGACAACTGCACTAGTGGGAAATTTGGTACGGTGGATCATTACGAGTGGAGTCTAGGGATTTTGGCAACAACAAATACTGGGGGCACCCCTTCAGGGGGTGCGAGGTCACCTGATCGATACCACCCACAGCTCAGATCGAAATTTTGAGACTTGCACAAAGATTACCATCACCGTCCTCGACCACAAATAATCAGTTAAGGTTTCTATCAGTCGTTTGTGTTAACCATACTGATAACATACTGATACAATACTGATATGGCATTGAAGGGGTTTCTCGCGCGATCCCTACTACCCTCGGTTACAGTTTCGCGGGAGGGATATCAGTTTCAGAACTTAATAGACTGTTAGACGGAATTGACGCTGAGAAAGGACGATTTCTTCGACAACTTAATAAAACGCTGGGTATGAGTCTTTTCGATATCTTGAAGGGTCGAAGTCGGGCGAAGAGTCTTCCTTCGTTACAATTAACAGACCATGATATCTCCACATCTCTTCTACCACAATGCTGGTATTCTCTTCACGATGGTTATTGCTGGTGGCATCCTTTTTGGCCGCGACACGCTCGACAATGTACGCCAACATGTGGTTCCGACGATAAGGATTGGTTAATCTCAGATTCAACGACTCAGCACTAGACCATTAGATGCCAAGCCTAGGAGCGCACTTCTCGCCCTTATCGATCCAAGCTTTCTCAATCGCAGGAGTTCCCCAGTCTCCGGATAAAGGAAAAGGCTCACCAGCTTTCTCCATAGGATGATTTGATCAAGGCAAATGCATCTGATGCCGAAATGCGATCGGCAGGCGAGAACACCATCAAACCCTTGATCACCGGAAGCAGACCTTGTAATTCTTGGTCGTCGACATTCTCATTGAAAACGACTTCCAATCTGGAGTCAGAGCGCTACCCCTCTTCTCTCAGACCAAAATCTCCTCCATTGTCACCTCTCAACTGCCTCCATTTCGGTTGCCATTCTTTGGGCAACTCTCCCACAAGATCGATCATTGACGCGACTAAGCTATCAATTCGGAACCATTGAAATGGCAAGACTCCAAAGGTAAGATAGTAGATCTATGGCACATATTAGGAAGTGCTTCGCCTGGAGTTCCACGGCGGTATTCTTACTATTAAGCCCGCACGCCATAAGTCAAGTCTGGAATCAAACTTGTCGGTGAAAATGGTTTCAGGCGCCTGCAAGCCTTCTGGCTGGGCTAGTTTTGCAGGCATGTTTTCTCGGGTGAACGCTTCTCCTAGATCGATCAATCGAATATTTTCATCTTCGTCGTCGTCTTCGTCGGGCCAGCCAGTCCATTCTGTCGATTTAACTAGTTGACGTGGGACACTTTCTTCAAGGGCTCTGCCGTCTATTCGGGTGACATCTTCGGACTCTGAAGGCCCGAGGATCTCGAAGAGCTCCTTTTCGGACAAACGAGACAGTCGACCAGAATTAAAGGCAAGATTTCTAACGCTAAGATCTGCAGACGGTCAGCTCCGACAATTTGAAGTGGCTCTAACAAGACCACAGAGATAGCAGCCCACAATACCTCCGTGCGCAAACCCTTTCTCATGTAGAAAAGTCAGAGCTTCCAATAGCTGTGTTGATATTTTCACAATACTTTCCGCATCGAGACGCTCTCCCACTTGATGATAGTCGTCCACAGTGATATTGATAGTAGGCCCCAGCAATTCCAACACGAGACAAAGATGCGAGCCATTAGGACCTTCAGTACGGAAGTCATCAACTAGTTGAACAATATATTTCGAGCCGAGATTGCCCTTCGCATGCTCAGATAGCGCTCGAAGGGCAAGCAACTCTCGAAACTGATCTGACCATTTCGCCTTCACAATTTTAATCGCCACCCATTGCTCACGTCTGCAATCTGTAAGCATCGATGCAAAAGAATATAGCATGGAGACGACGTACACCGCATCTCTGGCAACCCAGACGGTTGAGAAGCCACCATGGCCCAATTTGTGGTATATCTTGTATCGACCGTTTTTCAAAGTATCCCCCAGGACAACAGGATGATAACCGCCAGGCTCGTAGTCTAGAATACTCTCTTCATTAAACAATAAAAGATTTGATGTTCCGTAGAGATCATATATTTTCTCCATGAAAATGTGCCTGAATGTGTGGCAAAAAGGATGCTTGTTAGCCAGATGGCCCCGAACGACTGCGGAGGCTTCCAGATGACTATCAGATGGAAATGGTCAGGAGATTCTGTCATATGTAGCAGTCAGGATGAGAAACAATGCTCGGAGAAAGTGGCCGGGACAGTGAAGTTATAAATTGTGGCCAAGAGGCTACCGATCGGCCTGATACTCCAATGTAGCCAATCGTAGGCATTAAATTGGGAAGCAGCCCCTCGCGCAGTGGATGGCGGCTAGAGTCGATGGGTCCAAGATACTGTGTAGTGTGTCTTGTGTTCCAAAGAGTAGAGTATTCGGGCTCTCTTAGTTTGCGAGACTCAGTATCATTTCAGGAAGGAGGACTAACCGCCGGCATGGTTCAGACTAGGTTATCCCGCAATATGTCTTCGTCCTATTGGTTGTTGTAAACTCCAACATGTTTACTATTCGACAATGGAAGCAGTTGTTGTCTCAGATGAACCACAATCCGGGAAGCCGATCGCTGCGGATGTGTATATAGTTGTGGGATGCTCCAGCTCCACCCATTGCAGCCGCAGTCACTGCTTTGATCTCAGATTCTGCCTTCTTCAACCCAGCGGTCCACTCGCTTATACTGTAAGATGTCCATAAAGCATTTTAACCACTCCGTCTTGGAGGAAGGTAAACAATAACAAAGGGATACCTGGTGTGAGAGAATGATGGGTAGGCTGGTCCCTTAAGAATACGAGGATACGATGAACGCATGCTCATGGTGTTCCGCTTTGATTCCCATTTCGGTTTCGAAGGGATGACGAGGCTTCATGGGATTTTGGAACATGACGCCTGGTACTGGCAGACGATATAGTCCCCAGCTAAAGCGAAGAAAAAGGTGTTCCAACCCTCATCAAGAGCAGAGCTCAAAGTATCAAGGCGGCAGCTGGAGAGGGTGAGTTGGTGGTCTCATAGGTCTGCTTACAACAGTGAAAGAAGTCAGCATAGATGGGTACGTAAAAAGCTCCTCATTCTTTTGAGGATTGAGGTCGCCTTGCAACACACTCGTCTTTAGAATCGCTCATTCATTATCCTTTCGACATCTCTTGCACAAGGTGGCGCAAAATTCTGACTTCGAGGATTGAGGCCTCAACATGGTGTCAGAACGGAGTGCACTTTCAGATGAACCCGTGCATGCAGCCAAAGAATTGGCTAGCGGGTTTTCACTTAGGGCTTTATGTCCTTGAGAGTTTATTGTTTACGCGCTTGACAGACTGGTGAGGATTGATGGGGAGTACTAGAAATCGTGGAAGGATGTGTCAGATATCGAAGTCGGTTCCCGCCTAGAAGAAGTTAGACGTTTGTGAGAAGAGCATTTGCTGGCATTTCTTCACCTGATAACAAAGGAATATACGTGAGGCAGGCACATCTTTGTCCCTCACCTCAGTTTCAACCCTCAAATAGCATGGATCATCGTGTCACTTGACGTTCATGGCAGTAGACACATTTTGTTGGGTTCGAGCTGGTTGCTGGCGTGAAAGTAGGCCAGCGAGTTGATATCGCCATTGTGCATCTGTGTGGCAACCGAGCTCTGAATGCCTGGTGTGTACCCACTTGCGTGGCTACCTTCTATGGTCGAATCCTTAGCCTGAAAAGCTCTCGTCGGTGCTTTGACAATTCCCAAGATCGTTCTCACTCGACTTTTGCAGTCTAGCCAATGGATGATGTTGCTGTTGCTGTTGCGGTTATAGTTCGAGGTTAGAAGGATTTCGTATGAGGATCCAGGTGTATCCTTAAGTCTTTGTGACATTGGGATCGTCGACGCAGGCAGAAATCAAACGAACTTGAACTTCCCACCTTTGATCTCGGAGTTTATCCAGTATTCAAATCGCACGTGCGCGGATGGAATGTCCAGACAGGCGATGCGGTGGTGGATGAAATTGATGCATTTCTCTGGCGCATCTCCTCGAAAAATGGCCAATGGTTATGTGCAGGTAGTTGAGACCAGTGTCCAGAAGTATCACCGTGCGGCCAAGTAGACCCTTCGATATGGCACTCAATGCTCCCTGGAATTGTATCAAGTTCCGCGGTCTGCGAACGTAAAGTAACTGGTTCTGAAAAAGGCCCTTGTGGTTGCATCGTCATTGACCATGATAAAGATTGAAAGTTGAATGATTGTTGATCGCCAATAAACAACGAGTTATGATCGGTATAGTCTTGCTTGACCATCCATTGTTGATCTTCACCGATACTGGGCGGTGGAGTGGATCCCAATGGCCCATCATCTATTACGATTTCATTTATCTCCTTGTCACCATAGCGTCTGCTCACATGTTGGTTTGATGTTGGACCAGGTTTGTGATCGATCGTGTCGGGCACCCCACTGCTGGGGGTATAATCACTAGTACCTAGGATACCCAATTGTGGATCCGGTGATGCAGGAGGCGAATCGAAGATATCACTCAACTTCTTGCCGAGCTCAAGATGAGGATATTGAGCATGGAGACGAGTGACCAAAGCCTTGGCACGGCGATGGCGGTCTTCCAGTATTTTCGTTCGTGAAGCCCCGGGTACTTTTTGCTTGCGTGTAGACATGAATTTACAGTCTGTCGGAGCGGAATGATGAGAACGTGAATAGCTGATTGTGGTTGTAGACTTACTCCTCTTAAACTCTTGGCAGGGTGTACAAGGCTGAAGACCATCACATCTGGTCTTGCGAACACGGCATTCACTACATGCCCTACTGACACGAGATGATCGAACCCGTTTTGACGTGGTAGGAGAGCTGGGGGGACCAGTATCTTCACAATCGGCCATGACAAACACAGTGGATCGGAAAATCAGCAAATGTTGAGCTGGGGGGAGAGCATCCGTGAAGGAATCAATCCCGCAGGTGGGATGGATAGAAACAACTCAAGATCGGTATGAGGGAAGAAATTATAAGACGTATTTGTGTAGAGTGCCTGATTCATGGGCACACAATATTCTAGTATCACGTGAGCAATACGTGCCTTCTCCTTTATCATGGAGGGTGGTTGTATGTCAAGTTAAGCTATCTGTCCTGCAAACCTGGAGCGGCTTGCTAGGCTCCATCAATGCCGCAGATGGCAAATATAGATCGACCAATCTGATTGCCACAAAGGAACACGACCCCTGCCGATTATTGCTTTGGCACCTATGGCGGCGGGATTGAATCCGGCCGAATGGTGCCAGCCTTGCCGTAATGTTTGCGCCACCGTTAAATTTCGGATGTCCCCGTAGCTAAAACCAGTAAGTTGCTCGTGACAGCCTGAATTATCGACGACTTGATCGCCTGGGGTTCACCTAGACTTACTGTCATTGGCCGCTGAGCATAACGAAAGCATGAGCCGCTTGCAAGATGTGCTCCTCCAGGAGTCTCGGATTGCCTCGAGAGGGATACGGCCATGCGCGTAATCGGATCCCACTTCAGACAACTAAGTGGTGCGGCTTTGAATCGTCCAGGCACAGGACCATGAAATCGACGATCATGAAATCCCTAACTTTAAACTTCGGTTAATACGGTGAGTAACTTGTCAATTGCAATCGACATCTTGAAGTCATGCAAGATGGTTGGAAGCGGGCGCCTATCACAAGGCGGAGTGTGACTCCAGAAAGGCAGCTCATTTCCCCACCCTCCATCCTGATTTGCCCTGTGCCCCACTCTGAGGTTCACACCACAGTTAGTTGCTTCTGCCCCATGCACATGTACTTTTGGCTTCCCAGAGGAACACCTTAGCAGAGAGTGTAGCCTGTGTAACATGTCCTCGTCGTATTTTTGAACAGGGGTTTCCACCCGCCGGGACTGCTAGTTCAGCGGGGAAAGACGGATGCTTAGGCCGTCCGATCTGCGAGGTAGTTTAAGTTAGTTGGCCACGGCTCGATCAACTGCAGGGGCTACCACTGCTACCACTACTATTCGGGCTGAGCTTTGTAAACCACCTACTTCAGGCGAGGAATGATCGACGTTGGGATATGACGTTCAGCCGTGTCTGTGTCAGGATTTTGTTTAGGATAGAATTGTACCAACATTTGTGCGACGTGCTTCACCTTGAACACTCGTAGCGATGAACCCCAACTTACGCGAGATGTGATTGCGTTGATTAGTCTTGCTTTTCCGAACACATTGTACGCTGAATTGTGGAGAGGGTAGAGCTTGCTCTTTGTAAGAAACATGGGGTCATGCATTCAGTGACTAGTTTACGGGGTATCAATTGGTCTCTGGTGTCCATCATGAATCAGATTACATCATTGCTCCATTTACTGTGACCTTGTGATGTGAGTTTTTGTCTTTGTTTTCTCATCTCCGGAAATCCTTTGAGTGTGCTAGTGACAACTATGGAGGGTGTGAGAATTTCTTCGACTTTGTCGACCCCAAAGTCTACGTAACTATACTCAAAATATGTTCGTGCCTCTTTAGCAAAGGGTCGGTGTCTTGTTGAGGGTCGAGAAGACTTTGGATTTGAGGCTCTGATATCTCGGTGCTTTCATTTGCCTGGTTTCAAATCTGGCCCGGTGAGCTTGAAGAGTTCTCCGAGCAGACTGCCCATTTCTCCGGTGAAACGAACGCAGGTTGGTATGTCGATCAGTTCCTGCCACGGGATCTCGACCACCCTCATCGATCCTGCCTGTGATATCTCGCACGACCAGATAATTCTTGGTTGTGGCCGCCACTTGCACAGATAGCCTTGTACACCTTTGTTGATGGTCACGAGCTCTCCGATGCACGCGACTGGAAACAGCATGTAGTATGCCTCCATCATATTTTGAATTCGATAATTTATTGCCCACAGCAACAAGACCGCCTTCATATCCCGCCACACACCGTAAAGGGCTTCCTTGCTGCCGAGTTGTGCTTTATCAAGCAGCTGATATATCAAAAGCACCATTTTGTCCAGACGGAGCCACTTCTGACCGTGCTCGAGCTCTGTGCGCCAAACCGGGTCACAACTTGCTTTCAATGGAATCATCCAGCTGTCATCTGTGACTTGAACGAGCAGTTGACGGCCATCCCAGTCGAGCACGAGCGGCAATCTGGGTTGGTTGCTTGGATCGAAAGGGTCTCCGCGATGACCCCAGTCCGCTGGGAATGTGGCGGGGAGCTGCTGTGTTAGAGCATCAAAGGACCACTTGCTCAGATCCAAGAACTTGTGTGGTGGCTGTGACATTCTGAACACTGAAGCAAGTTATCGTCCGGCCTGTTGAAAGTAGGAAGATGATTCTCCGTGGGCATTCAGGCAAAGCGACTGATTGCAAGAATGCAAATCGGGTTGGACAACCTTTTTATATGTCCCTAGCGGGCGGAGCAATTCTCCCCTTGCTGGAACAACACTTGAGACCATAGAGGTCAGGATGGCGCAGATCGAGGCTAATAGGATCTTTTCACTATTGCTGCATCCTATATCCTATCTGCAGTGCGATGGACGTTCACCGCGACACATTCTAGTGAACCATGCCCATCGCCACTTCCTCCATTCCCATGAACCTCTCCATCCCTCCCTTTCCACTCCTGCTCATTTAGAAGAGCCAGCAATTGTCGTTTATTTTGTAATTAGAAAAGTGCGTAATCGAACTGTCTCACGAGGTATTCGCTCTCTATCTTACAAATGGCGGGAAGTTTCACCAATGTTGCACCACTCGTCTTTTGTGCCAGGTGTACCGTTTTCATAGGACGTCGTTCCTTGAGCCATGTATCACGTTTGCTCGCAAGGGACTTTCTTACCCGTGCAGCACCCGCAGCTTCTCCCCAAATCTCGGTCATCAAGAGAGCTGTCAGTTTCGGGAGAATGTCATCGACAGCGGTCCCTTCCTTTGCAGATACCTCCGAGAAAAACTCGGCCCCAAGCTGACGCGCGGAGAGACTTCCTTCATGGACTGAAATCTGCCTTATATGCCTCATGTCGAGCTTGGTTCCAATCAAAGCGGAGGGAATGCCATCCATCACACCTTTTGCGGCCCAGTCCCAGATGGTCCACATTGATTCTTTATCCGTAACACTGTACGCGAGGACCAAGGCGTCCGCGCTTCTAACCAAAGTATAATTATCGTATAAATCCAGTCCGGAAATGTCATGAATCTCTAGGGCGCAGGCGTGGCCTCGCACCGACAGGGAATGGTAATATGTATCGTGGATAGTCGGATCGAATTGATCGGTATACGTCCCGTGCAGCGCCTGAGGAAGGTTAGCACGAGTGCGAAAGATTTTCGCTCGAGGTACCCGTTCGATCCAGGCAGTCTTACCAACACCTCCTCCTCCGAGTATAACCAACTTAAAGTCATTCTTCTTTGAATCGTCGCCATTCGATAATGACCCCAGGCGTTCAGTTGCATGAGTAGCCTGTTGGCAGGACATTTTGGTTGGATAAGAGGAGCAAGAAGGGAGGAAAAGGCAACTAAACTCCAGCGGGAGGTATGCTTTTATGAGCCATAGGAGAGAGCGATTTCATTGCCCGCGTGTCATCTTCAACCAAACCCGATACTAAAATTGGGTAATAGTATAGCGGATCCACAGATTTCAGAATGGAACTGTCTTCATACCACAAAGATCCAAAATGCCTGAAATTTCACGACCTTGACGACCCCGTCGCAAAGCAATTTACATTGACACTTGTCGTCACATGCTGGTCTGTACCAAGTTTGCCCAGACGTTCATCTTCTTTCAATTTCTTGTTGTCTTCCAGCGATTTCTTGTAATCTTCATTCACGATCTTGGTGATTGCCTCTAATTTTTTATGGACATCGTTCTATTGCTGGATCTTTTCTTCTGATGTCTTGTAATTAGTGTTGAACTTTTTGTTCTTCCCTTTCAACTTCTTGCATTCTTCACTCACTTTTTTGAAGTTCTCTTGCAACTCCTTGTTTTTCTCCTTCAACCATAGCTTGAGTCCGGAGATGAGGCCAGTAAAAATCGATCGGTGCCAAATCGACTCGTCCTACAATTCTTCACTACACCCCACACCCGTGACGCGATAAATATTCATCTCGACAACCAATTGCTGGAAACGACATGCTAGTTTGTGTCCACCCCGTGGGAAAATTGAAATTCACAGCTCCTGGTGGTGAACATGCCTCCAGGACATCAATGACCCATAGTCATCAAAGGGGCGACAAGACCATCCACGGCGGCAGTGTATCTCTTATGGTGTTCAAAGAGATCCAGAAGTCGCATTTCCAGGTATTCCTCCATCCGGGGAAGAGGGGTAGCAATATTCTTCACATAGATCCAAAAAGACTTTGGCCTTCGGATTGAGAGAATTTGTGGTCATCACACGAGCCCGGTACCACACTGATGCGAACAATGCCAATCGCCACTTGGTCATCCCTGAAAGATCTCCTCCCTCTAGCGCCCTCATACAGAGGTCCAAACTAGGACTGGTTAGCGGTGGGTATACCAGCAGCAAACAATCTTACTCTATGCCAGTCTCGGGGTCCTTTAGCCAATGTTTCACAATCGGACCGTCTAAAGCGTCGTAGTTTCTATGGCATGCGAGAGCGAATTCGTAACCAACCGAACTAATCCAGTCCATGGTCTGTAGACTGAACTGGGAACGGTTCAAGACCTTCATGGTCGCGTCGAATAAACTTGTATCTTGGTTGTTTTCTCTTGGTTGAGTTCGAACTAACTCACCACATTTCCTCTTTTCTCCAGTCAGCGTGCGACGATGGAACCTTCTTGGAGTGACTCACCAACAATTGAGGGGTCAGTAGTATCATGGCCTCGACCTCAGCACTCAAGGCTCGATCCTCCTCTTTGGCAGCCTCTACCTTAGTCCAACTCGCCTCGGGGTTGTTAAGGAGGACAGTAGCTTCCGTGCGAGCATGTGGCGTTAATGCTTCCAGTGATCTGAGTAATCCCTCGAACCACAACTCTCGATCATGATCCTTCACGAAATCGAAAACGAGCTCGACAACAGGCCGGAAATAACGTGGGACCAGTGTTGAATTAAACTGAGTATATAGCCCGAAAAGAATCTTTTGTTCTTCCCGATCAAATTGGTCAACGAGGTGCTCGAGTGTCGCATTGGAGACTGAAGAATTCTCGATGATCGTGTTGTCTGGCAATAAAGCCCTTTCAGGAGAGTAAACAGTATTTATGAGGGTCATAAGGAGATTCTTGGCCATTGATCGTGGGACCCCGGTGTCAGATATCGACATGTGTCTCGGCTAGGAAGATTTAGATCCATGGGCGAACCACACTTGCAAACGTGTACTGACCATTCTGATAAAATAATACCTAACAACGTAAAAGATCAAGATGACTGGAAAGAGTCTGAGAACAAGGAGAATGGTGGGACATGTAGAACCTGGACGACCAGGGGGTTCATGGCCATATATACTTAGGTGGATAACTTCCCATTGAACTCCATTTATGGTCTAACTAATACTAAGTTTAGTTTATTCGAGAGGTAGTCCGCAAGGTGGGCAATGCCGGCTCCGCTTCCACCGTTTGATACGGTCCAAGAATTCAACCCTCCAGCGTTCTTATTGCCCCAGAAGTAATTTTTCAGTCTCGTCCACTCTATTTGACCTTGACCTGAAGAATTCAACCAACGCACAATAACTAGGAAACCAACTGTGGGGGCTGATGTTCCTAGTCAGGTAGCTATCAGATAATTTTCTTCTTCGTCTGCCGGTTTGAAGAGGTTCAGCCCTCGGCTGTCCCAGAGCACGCCGAGAGTTTGACAAACCGCTAGTTTGTCAAACATGATGAGCTTCCGGTCCGTGGTCCACATAGAGAGGGGCAAAAGTATTATCTCCTCGCCGACGCCTAGTCGAATATGGCTATCCACGACAATCCAGAATGTCAGTTGTCCTTCCTGTAATGTCCGTATACCATCCTTGTCGAGCCAAACTTTGATAGGCCCTCGATAAAACGAGGGGAAAATCTCATGAAAGATGTGTCGATTGGGTGGTGTATTGAGTTACATAATCCACAAGTATAACATAACACTTAATTCCTGGACGTGTTCACTGATCTTAGGGTTTTCCATCATCTTGGGGGACAGTCGTAGGATGAACAATAGCTTGTCGGCCCTCCCTCCCGACTCCAAGACGTGACGGAGTTCTTTGTCTTTGTTCAGATGCTGTCCCAATTCTTGCAGCACGTCAAGTTTGATGAGTATATTGGGTATGCTGGCCCGAAGATACCCACAGCTCATGTCGGTTTGGATGAAATTGGCCATACTTCATCACAGGTGGTCAATATCTGGTACGAATGACAAACTGTGTTGGGGGGCAATCAACTCTTTATCGTGGATGTTCCATGGTTAATCCAGCATGTTCTTCACAAGATCCTGATCTTTGGCTGGGGTGATGTTGAGAAGGTCGGCTCCCATCTTTGGGTCCACCGGCTTTGCCATGTATCATGTAATGAAGCGGCAGATGAGAATGGCCATCGGTAATAGATTCTACTCTCATGATTTCCCGAAGTGATGCTGAGGTATTGTTTTATCTGGCTTCCTTGTGGAAGCACCTCGCGATATTTATACATTCTCCTCGTGGTGGTTCTATCAAAACAGACGAAAGTAGAATATCCTCCAACCACCTGTAAGATACCACGTATCTCCGTACTTATGTGGAGCATCGCGTACGATTTCTCCTGACCGACTCTCTAGCTATCTTACCAGATATACCTAATCAAGGGTCCCCACACCAGCGCCCCGAATCAGTCACCGTCTTCAGCATGTTGCATCGTGGGGTTCCGCAATGATGTCGTTTTCGCTCTTATGCAGGGAATTGGGATATGGTGGTGATGACTGTTCTATTCCCCCATTGAGATTTTCCTGGCTGGACGAACTGTTGCCACTCGAATCGGCCTCCTGTTGAACTTGTACAGGCCACCAATATCGGATTGCCTTTGGCATAGCCGCAAGGGTAAGTAAGAGGTTGAAGATGAGCATTTGAATCTCGCACTGGTCAGAAGATTTCGGTTGAGGATTGATGCAGGGCTTACCGTGTAACTTTTCAGTTCGAAGTAACTGAACGGTTCATTCTGCTCGTGCAGTACATACGCCCCTAGGACCCAGACAATAGTAATGATGGTAGCCGAAAGAATCAGGTCGTAGACCAGTGCATTTCCCAGAGGCGTTTCTTCTCTCCTCCAATCCCACCATCCCCACCATCTTCGCGTCCGACGGTCGGGATTGAATTTGGGATCGAATTCCATGAGTAAACGAATAGCGCAGACCATCCGAATAAGGCATGCGAGCGTCACGTCTGTAGAAAATAACCGCAGCCCAAGTTTGTGACCACTAAAGATATTCCGTTAATTACATGCCCGAGGCATTGACGAACAACGTACACGAGGGTGAAGGTAACACATAACCCCAGCGTAGACGCCACCCAGATAAATAATGACAGTAATCCAAGCAATAGCCGGGTCCTGGTGTACAGGTAGCGCCTCCAAATAACGCCGGTGAAGCTGAATACCTAACATAAGTTAGAACTCGATCTACACGAGGTTGGATGAAAATACCCCTAGTGACGCTGCCCACAAGTATGCAACACGGACGAGCTGAATGGTTACCGTCAGAGCCAATTGACGTATAACCGCCACAAGGACCGTGAGTTCTAGAGCCGTTAGGCTTAAATCTCCAGCAACACGACTAATCCTCTCAGAGGAGTTTTTGACCCAACGGCGAAATGGTATCGGCTCCGTCGAGTTAATCTTGTCCTTCCAGGCGGATCGGATGGCACCGACAGATGCTAGCAAGGGGATGAAGGTTAGCATCAAGGTGAAAATATTGAGAATCATACAGATGAGCATTCGTGCTTCCATGATGGACAACGCACGAAAGTCGGGCGCTGAGCGACAAGGCAACCAGTGGGCTTCTGCATGGTTATATGTCGAGCCAGCTCAAAGAACGGCTGGTGCGAAAAACGATGGTGATGTGACAAGGATATGTAAACGCTTCCAAGGTATGCGAAATAGGATACGTCCCTTGTCTAGTCACAAGCATGCAGGGAGGTTCAAACAGAGAACGAAGCGAATGCACCTTGCGGCTAGAGTGGGATACCAAGGCCGCGCACTACAAGGGGGACCGCTAGGTTAGCCGATAGTTGCAGGGACATCTAGTTAGACGAGAGCAGAAGGAGAGGCAGGAAGGTGATATTTGTGAGGTGGGAATGGGGTACCTTGCCTCAGCCAGTGAGATGCAAGAAATTGGTTCTACAGAACCAATTTCTTGCATCTCACTGGCTGAGGCAAGTCCTGCATGACCCACTTCTGTTAGTCCCAGTTATAACAAATCCGACTGTGGACTAGAGTGGGAATCCTACTCCTCTCCTCTCTCTGTTCGTACTGGTGTTCAGTGGAAGTCAACAACTATGGCAGTCACGACAACTACACCCACTCCTTCTGTTCTACTACTGAGGTCTTGTTCTTTGGTTATGCAGCTGGGCGTAACGGGGTCACCAGGTCTGGGCTCCCGTGCAGACAAATATTTGGGCTGTCTCACGGACTTATGGCAGGCTGCGGAGACAGGGAAGTGTGCGAACTTGGTCCCTCGGAGCTCAACGGTCAATGTCCAGCAGCTTGCTATCGACCTCCAGCAGTTGGTTCACGAAATCTTGAAAGAATGGAATGGAACCAGTAGCGGTGACAATTGGCAAGAGCCGAATGATGACGACCAGGAAGAGCCTAAAAAGAAACGACCAAAATCCAAAGGTGCAGACCAAAAAAAGGAAAAGAGAACCACTCAAACCCAAAAGCCCCAAACCATAGACAAAAAGTCCCTCAAGCTCGAAGGGAAAGCTTGTGAAGGGGAGTGCACCCATGGCGCACAAGACATTCTAAAAGCTCTTAAGAAAAGTGCAAAGGAAATAGGAGAGATATATCGGGATGTTTCCTTCGAGGACGAAGTAAAGAAGGCCATCAATGTCGACACAGATGCTCTGATGGCAATGATCCAACCCCCGAAAATGCAGCCGCCGAAAATTGCATACAGCCTGGCTTCCCTCTACTTATACTACGACTGTCAACAATGGTTAGCTGAAATGGAAGGCCGTTCTGAGCGGGCGTACGCGAGAAAATGGGGTCTAAACCATGAAGGCAATGTGCGGACGAGTCTCACAATAGGCTATAAGATGGCGGTTTTGGAGAACGCTGCTCCAGGTACCGGAATATTACCAGTCCACGCAAAGTCCAAATTTCGAGGTCTCCATCAGGGCGGCTTGCCTTGTCTACTGGCTGGCATGTTGACCGATGCCGCTTTCTCATCACTGGTCCAACTGTATTCAAATGAAAAAGCGAAGGAAACTTTTTGGGGCTGGGCAATACGACGGAATACGGCGAAATCAGAACTGTTCAAAGAGAAATCGAAACAACTACTGGAACGCTCAATCAGCCTTGAATTCCAGATGATTGGACACCTTCTCGAACGAAGGCACCAGTCGACTGGCCAGTTGACCTCACGATCATCAGGAAGAAACAGCCAGGATATTGCGCCTCGCAATGCTCAAAGAGTAGATGAAGCAACCGCTGAAGTTCACAATCTTCCGACGATTGAAGCGGTCACGGATCTCAACGACATGGAACCCCAGCCGTCCAAGCGTCCTCGTTTGGAAGCGGCCGAAGAAATTACAACAGCAACTCCGGCAACGCAAACGAATGACCAAATTGGCGGACATACGCCTGAGTGTAACTCGGAAAGTCCTCTTGACCTTGTGGGCCTCAGTGGCGACACGCGAATCTCAGTAACAAATGGTCCGGATGGACCTATCTAAGAGGATGCTAGAATCAGGTAGGATTACTGGGTGGGGTGACCAATCAGCGAGCGAGAAC